AGGAAATGGCAGTACTTGCAGAACTGCAAATTTTCTTACCTTCTGCCTTGCAAAGGATTTAGTAACCTTGCTCTCTGCTGGACGGTTTAATCCTGGAGCCCAGAGTCTGTTAGTGGTGTTCCACTACTGTTGCTTCTTCTTCCGGTTTCAGGCTGACTTCCTCCACCTTCTCCCTTTAGGGACACAGACAGAGGAGGAGATGTTTCGCACATGTGTCTGAATTGTCCTTGAAAGGCATTAAACTACTAACTTCAGGCACTTACAAGGGCATCCATGACAGCACAGTGCCCACTCTAGGCTGCAGAATCCACTCAAGAAGCTGGTAGATTCCTAGGGCACTTAAATACTCATTACCTGAGCTCATTTAGCTACATTCTACATGAACTAAAGCCACAAAAGGTATGTGGCAACAACTGCGATTTGAGCGCCAGTTAATATGAGCCTTCAAGAAGCTGGAAGCCAATCATAACTGTGACAAACCTTCAGCGGGAACAAAAATACTTCCGTTCTCCTCTTGAAATTTGCTAATAAGCTTTTTCATCTCTTTTCTACAAGGATGAAGCTAGTTTTAGCAAATAAATAGAAGAGTCTTGCTGCATCTTCCACAAGACATTACATGTATGGGAAAGCAGAATGGGTGGCACTGTCCTTGGGTCCTTTGGGCACGTGGTAAATCTGTGGAGTGTATTTCACGCAGTAGAGGCTTATCAAATCTGGGTTCTTGCATCTCCATGCACAGAGGCCTTTGAGGAAGGCTGGTGAATACTGGCCAATGTTGAGTAGAGCATGTCAATAGAACTATCAGGAAGGAAACGTGTTTCATTTATGGGATTACACACAAAATGTTTGAGTAGTTTTTTATCAACAAATCCTAAACAAGGCAAATGCAAACCAAGTAACTCACAGTGTGCTTTATTATTTTTCCACAATATTAACTAGACAGACATGGAAAGTTTAATGGCAGCATGTTCTTATAACATTTTAAAGACAAAGAACAACATAATCATATTAAATGATGATAAACTGACAAACTACATTACCATACATACATCATTCAAAGGTACTGGATAAACAATATCTGCTTATGTACATTTATGCTGGTGATAATTAAAATTCAAATATTCAGAAGAAAAAGAAAAAAGCTATTTAAATTATAAAAATATACAGGTTTATTGTGGAACTTTTAATGCTGTATAACTTTTTGAAAAAGATTTCATTGTACGATGAAGCTGCATTAACTTAGTACAGGAGTGTGATTTAAACCAAATACAGATTAAATTAGCTCTTTTGTCTTCCTTGTATTTAACCTTGTTTGAAAGAGAGATAGGAATGAAAAACAAATCTGGGCTTTCACAATGAGACAGAATTTTTATACTCATAAATCAAGAGATGTTTAATTTTTCATATAGTAGTGAGCCATAAACTTATAATACAAATGAATCATTTTGCTAGCTTGTTTAAAAGTAGAGAGAGATAAAAATCCAATAGGCTTTAAACATGCTACTTCACTATACTTTTAATTAATAGGACATGTAGGTTTGTGGAGTGGAGTGCAGGTGCACAGCTAAGCAGAGTGTCATGCTTGAGGGTCAAAGCATGCAGTCGTTACGTATAGCTGACTCCCACTGCTTCAGATGGGGAGACCATGTGCATGCAAAGACTGGGGGTGCCGAGTCTGTATTCTTTGAACTGCATCACCTTCATGTTTCCTTGCACATCTGGTTTCAGACAAATATTGGGTTTTTTCCATAATTGTTCCTTTTTAGTGCAACCCTGCTGAGGCTCCGTAATCCTCAGTCACAACAGCAAATCGATGAACTTTTATAACAATTGGGTATTTTTATAATAGTTTACAAGTAATTTTGTAACTGAAAATTTTTAGTAACTGCAGCTGTGTAGTGCACACATTTGTAGCTGGTTTTAGTTAAAAGTTATTTTCAGACTATCTTGGATGAACTCCTGCATCATAGGATACTCGAGATTTTCTTACATACCAATGTCGTTCTCTCTATCTTCCAGCCCCCTTCCTTATCTGTATATTCTGTTACTTCAACAACCCCATTACTCCTTTGGTGGATCCAGTGCTTGTTCTATTAAGAGATGTCCTCTGTGTCAGCTCCGGTTTCAGAATTCTTAACTTGCAGATTTTTTTCCTTGTCTCCCATTTGTTCCTAGGTTACTGATCTATAACAGATCTTAGGTGATCTTACAGATTATTTTTTTCAGAAGCAAAATATTTTCCTTCGTTATTTTCTTAATAAATGGAGTGAAAAAGAATTAATGACAAATAAATTGAATACAGAAAAATAAAGTATTTCTCTTGAATTCCTATGGATTTCCTATTCTGCAAAAGACTGCCTTCAGAATTAACAAAGTTTTATAGTGAAGAAAAATTGTGGAGTCTCTGTAATCTTTTATTCTGCCCTTATATCATCCTTTTTCAAGGGAAAGGATGAGAGATGAATGAATTCCAGGTAACGGTCCCCTTTAACCCAGGAGATATTTCAGTCATGCCTTTGCTTCCCTCCACTTTCTGACCTCCTCTTTTGTTGTCCTCTGATCTTCCACACCAAACCAACCTCAGAAGTGTCCCTCTTTTTTATTTTTTGCTTTTACAACGTGGATATGCTGGGAGTGGTCAGCTGTGTGTGCACAGATAGTGACAGAGAATGGACTTTCACGGAAGCATAGTCTTGGAGCATGGAAATCTATAAGGCATTTTGTGGGGAAAAAAATCTTATGTGAAAGCGTGATGGAGAATAGGCAAGACAGGAATTATTGCAAAAGAAATGCAGGAGTGAGAGGAGAGGATTTTATTAAAGAAGTTCAAGCTTTTATATACATTCAATGTTTCTAATATGTTTCTTAATAAATGTATTATCAACTATCATTATACCTAATGCAGCCACAATACTGTACTATTCTGCAGTCAGAATGGGAAAACTCCATTAGCTCTTTAATAAAATAAAATCATCAACAGTCATCATGACTCTTCTTTTGCCTGGTATTAACTAAGACACTGGGAAGTCCAGTGAGTAGACACAATAGAACACAAAATCCTCAGTATTTATTTCAATGTGTATCATGTGTCTTCTTCATATTATTTCTAAAGCAGCTTTAAAAAACTTTTGCCATTGGAAGGTATTAAAAAATAAAACCCATTCAAATTATCCTGGTAGTATAGCAGCACTGGAATCGATAGTTACTCTTTTACTACTTTTGACAATGTAAACCTTTAATAAAATAAACAATATTGAAGCAATTTGAGGTCTAATAGTTCATGAACTTTAACGGGCATATGGGCACAAATTGAAACGAAGACTAGGTTGTGAAATGAAACATTAGCTCAATACCAGCCAATTCCAGTTGTGAAACTGGCAGCAGACAAATTTGGCTTGGAAGCTGAAAAAAACCAAAGCCCACACTCAATCCACAATATTCAGTTGCTCCCATTTCAAATGTTTTTCATATGAACCCTACACAAGCATGCCCACTTCTGACAGAAGCACTCTGAAACATTGCAGGTGCTTGTTGTTTGATTGGGATTTTTCATTTTTCTGTAATCAAGCATAGTTCACATTTTTTGTGTTCTTAGAAACATTTCCTTTCTTTGTTTCTATAAAATCAAAAGTCATTTCAAATCTGAAATATATGCTTGCTCCATCTTTGCTCATACAAAGTGTAGGTGTTCCAACTAAATAGCAGTAAAAATGCTGAGATGTACAACTCTTAAAAAAACAAACAAACAAAAAAGCAGCTTTGAAGACACAACATCAACTACAGCCTTAACATTGAACATATTACATTCCCAAGTTAATGGAGATATTTTGCATATAATGCCACTAAGTTATTCGACTGAAATCTTGAGGTTGAATCTACAGTTTACTCACTGTAACTTTTCACCCTTAGAGCACTTATGTATTGTATGGTACATTTTATCCAGAGCTTTGCAAGCTTTCCTTTTATGTCTGGACATCCATTTACCCACAAATCCCAGATTTCAAAAGTTTCACAGAAACAGAGTGCTTGACAAACATTTGAAGCTGGACATTTCCATGACTTGGAGCAGCCCGTGGCACAACGCTTCAGACTCTTCCTTCAGATTTGTCGGGACTCCTGGCCCCCTCTGAGCACACAGAAAGCCCCACTTTAAAATGCATTGACACATCTGGTTTCAGAACACAGATCTGTTTATAAAACTGTATACTGAGTACTCTGCATGAATTTTACTCGAGTTGCATTTTGTAACATGAGCAGATGACTTCACTGCCCCCTTTCTCCCCCACCCTATTGTCGCTTGAAACGACAGTAGGCACCTGCGTGATCGAGGTGTCAAAGGCTCTCTGTCCAGAGAGAGGATTTGGAGTTTCATCATCTTTTCTGTAGACAGTCTTAGGAAATGATTAGCATGAAATAATTTTGAGGGCGAGGGGCAGGAGGATAAAGCTCACTTTCTTTTCCTGTTATGAAAATGAACTTGATTTTGGTGTCCAGTTTGATAAACAAGGATAGTCAGAGCTAATCTGTAACTCAGCTGAGGTCTGCTTCTTGCCAAATAAAATTAAGATCTTTTTCAACTTCCAGGGATTTAGAGACCACATCTAATTGGTTTCAAACCCCTGGAGGAACTCAGTAAGTAAACAGGATTAGTTGCAGATATGAGCCCACTAAAGTGGGACACAGGTCAGGTCTTCAGACTCCAGCTCTGCTCTGTTGAAGCAGGCACTTAAGGTCTCCTGATGTTTCTCTGTCAGTAGCCACAAAAAATGTTTTACTGCTGAGAAAATCATTGGAACACAATTTCTTACAAGCCCCAAAGATTTAACTTCACACTTCTATTAAAAAAAAAGTATTTGAGTCGACATATATCAGGGTACTGTGATTATGACGCGATGGCGCAACTGGTAACTTGAAAACGCATGTTTACAAGGCATAGGCAATCGTATTTCCAACTGCTCTCCTGTAGGGATAGCCAGGTGTCCTTCAAGAAGTTGCCATCTTGACTCCACATATGTACCATGTTGAATCGATTACTCCGTCAGTTCTTGCCAGCAGGACAGGGTGAGAGCTTTGTTCACGCTGACCTTGTCTTTCAGATCCCTCCCAGCTACCCAAAAAATGCAAGGAAAATCAACACAATTACGCAGCCTTTAGCAGCTCAAGTAACTGCCCTCGTAAGTGTAAGCAGGTAGGTCTTTGTCAGTACATTTGCTCTTCAAAGATAAAATAATCCAGCCAGCTGCATTAATTGAAAGAGAACCTAAAAGACTTTGGGGCTCATTAAAGTTAAGAATAACAACATGATGTGATGACAGATACAACTTGCAGAGTTTCTGAAAATAGCAGGTTAAAATGTAAATATCTTTTAATAAATAATTTTCCTGCAATGTAAAAATAAATGGTATTTCCTTTGGCAGTAATAGCTGATTTAATCTTTAGCTGGGAAGTTGTTTTGCTCATAAAATATCATTGTGCTACAGAAAAAAAAAATATTATTTTGTTATTCTGAAAGACTTTTGTAATCCACGATAAACTGGATGACTCTACTTATGTCCAAGATAAGCGCCAAGAGTGATGCAAGCTCCCACCAGAACTAGACTCAGGATAGTCTTCAGAGAGATCCAGGAGAAATCGAACAAAGGCCTCATACTGTTGCCATACAACTCCACGAAGGCATCCTAGAAAGGGAAATAATGGAATATCAGAATTGCAGTAACTTTTCCGGAGAGGGAAACAACTTTTTCTGGCTCAGTGGTCACCCAGCAATCATGCCAGCATAATCCCCCACTCCCCTCCCCCAAACCTATTAAAATAGTGATTTGGGAGCTATGGTTTTGTGAAGTGCTTGTCACAAAATTCTGCTCATTTCTTTACAAATATTGCTGTACTTACAGTCGTGACTTCTGCTTTAGGCAGGCTTAGTCTAAAAGAAAATACAGAGGCAGCATTTTTAAATACGAGTACCACCATTTTGGCTTCTAAATGTTGTATATAGAAGCATACACAAAGAAGGTAAACGGACTTTCATTCTCCAAACCTTTCATTTCCACTGGACATGGGGCATCTATATTGTTGGCTAGTTTCGCTGAAAATAAGGCAGTATTTATTTGATTCCCTTGCAATGCATTCAGAAGACTATGTGTAGTATCCACAGATATTTCTTCCACATGAAACAAAGCTGTTTGTTAGGGTTGTGTTATACCTTTCATAGCTGTCACCTAAAGGGGTGACACCTTGGTCCCATGCTCATCATGCCTTGGATGTGGCGGTGGTCTGGCTGTAGGGTCCATTGGGTCAACCAGCTGATCTGACAGCCCTCAGCAAGAGCTGTCTTGCCATGGGATAGTCTTGCCAGTCTGACTTGCCCTGTAGCCAAGACATTCAGGTAGAGGAAGAGGAGGGGAAGCATACAGTGATGCCATGTCTCACGGCCGACCACAAATCACATGGCGTGAGGTGTAGGGGGAGTCATCCCTCAGCCCAGCCCAAACCACCCTGGGTTTCTCCTTTGCGCTTCAGTATTCCATGTATGGAGAGCTGTTTTGTAAAGCTGCTCTGGGAAAGCCTGGAGGTACGTGTAGGCACCAAATGGGAACACTGTTTAAGAAGCAAAGATAAAGTTTTTGTGACTTACAAATACAGTGGGAATTGACTGGACTAGTGATCAGACTGGTGATACTCTGCACATAATACCTTTCTTTCAGGCTGTAATTCCTAACGAACATGAAGCTTCAGAGCATTCCTGAGACAGCATACTGAGTGCTATGAAAGCAGTAAATAGCAAAGCTGAATGACTTTTAAAATGTGACAGAACTGATAGCATCGTTTAAGGCAACTCTTTTATTGTGCTCCTGAACAACTGAGATAAACCCATGAAAGAGCTATCTAATGTGGGGGTTTCCTTCTCTACCTTTATGACCTTGTTTTGTAATGTTACTATGCTAGGAGGTAACCTGCCTTCTAAAAATGCATATATGTTATGGTTTCCAGCATGAATTAAGGAGAGAAAGGTCTCTATTATTAATATAAACCTTCCAGCCAAGTTAATTTGCCATAAATTGTGTAGTTGAATTAGTCTCCATCATTAGCCAGCTCTAGTTATTGTCAGAATAAGAGCGTTTGTGGTTTTACCACGAGAGGGCGTGTAAGGTTTTTTAATATTTTGCCATTTTGACTCCTGTTCACTGAGGCACTGAGTGAGATTCAAAAAACTAATAGGTATTTGCTTCCAGAATATATTATTACATTAAGTAATGCTGCTGCGTGTTGTAGGCAAGAGTGGATGGTAATAGGTAAGACTTGGTAACAGAACTGCTATAGGCTTTGGCCAACAGATTGACCTGAAAATACATCTGCCTCCTGCTATTTCTCAATGCTTGTTCCTCCAGGCAGTAATTTTCAAACTTGGGTTTCCAAAGGTATATTCTTAAGTGAAAGCAGCTTAACCTTTGTGGGGGAATGTTTTAATGCAAACTCTTCATTCCGGAGGAAATTTGGCAACTTTCGCTTAGCTGCCTGATTTTTCAAATACACATTTGTAAACTCTGGCCTTAATATTCTGCTGCGCTGTTGCAGAGCTGAAAAAGCATACACAGTTTGCTGTGCGGCTCTTTGTAAAGCTGCTTTTATTTCTCCTTAAGGCTATGATGTAACACAATATCCTAAAACGTTACAGACTGGGCTAAATCCTGTTGTCGCCAGTGCAGACTCACTGACTTCCACAGGAGCTTTGTCTGTATAGGGAGTTCAAGATCAGGTCTTATAAAAATACAACAGGGGTAAAGTTCAACAGTTGGTGATATTATTATGGGTAGAAAAGAGAGGAAATGAAAAAAAACAAACCCAAAACCATAGAAATGCAAGCCATGTGAATACATTTTAACATTAATATTTTCATGGTTTCTTTCTGTGGGAAGATCTCACTTCTGTATATTCAGGAAAGCCAATGCATACACAGTATCAATACCAAAATGAGCATGTTTTGTGCTTCTCTTCTATCCCAGTTTAGGAACATTCCTCCCAGTCTGTCTGGGAGGCCATTTCTAATGATTTGGTAGAACTCCTCGTATTGGGTAGGAAAATGGACAGAGGGTTACAGTAAAATTTGAAGACAAGGCAAAAGTATGGCACAACCTCTGGCTCAGAAGAGGAATGTTAACAAAAAAGTGCAGCACATGCAGTACTTTTTTGCACAAGACTATTACAACAATAACATGAACCCAACCTAATGGTGTCTGCGCTATATATTACAAGTAGCTCTTTATGATCGTTCCCCCTCCCCTTCTCAAACATCCTGATTAGGCCTATTTCCGAAGCTTGTTTGAACAGCCTGTCACTATTTGTTTAAGTTTCAAACCTGTTTTAAATAAACACATGTCCATTTTATGTACTAAAACAAGGAGAGGGGGGAGGGAAGTATGACCCATTACTGAAAACTATTTTAGCACAAAGAGAACCCTAAACAGAATCTCAACTGTTTCATAAGGTTTGTCTCCTCTGTAAACCCATGTAATTGTCACTGGATTTTTGTCGCCTAAACCAGTCTGTTTAATATAAGAGAATCTCTGCTAAAATAAATAAGATTAGGAAAATTGCTTGAAACACTTGATGTCCTCTGAAGAGTAATCTTTATAATGAAAGCAAGGGTCCCCTTGGCAAATAGACCGAGGCAAGTTCTGGCTTGGTCAACCTCAACCTTTCTTACGTAAGTCTTACATAACTGGAAAGAAAATGGTTGCAGGCCTTGCTTTTAAGACCTTCAAAATTTAATGGAAAGTTATATCCTGGATATAAAATTATATCAGGGCAGTTAAAATTATATGGAAAAGAACTCTTCATTCAGCTCTGTAAGTTTTTAAAAAGTCATTTCTTAAGAAGCTTTTATTAAGTCAAATCAGTCCATTGCTGGTTTACTACACAACTTTAAGCTGACTGTTTCTGAGAAGCAAGGAAAGTGGCAGTGGGGAAGAGACAGAAGTTCTGTCTAAGCTCCTTTTAGCATCAAAGCACCTGAGATGCCTGTCTTTGCCTACCTAGGCTTGATAGGCAGGCCAGGAAGATTGCCACGAGGGCACCCTTTGCTGTCCCCTTGCCTGTTGAACTATATGCAGGGAGGACATCGCATGTTCCTGGCCAGAGTTCCTGGGATTTGCAGGGAGCTCAGGGCAAGAATTACCCTTAGAGGAGTAATGGTGCATTGAGCCACGGCAGTCTCAAAACAAAGCATCCACATCACACTATCCCACTCTTCCGCTGGCCCAAATTTGGCAGCTCTGATCCGAGAAACAAATGTCATCTTTCATTACATGGGCATTCTTTGCTTGCACACTCAGCTGAGTTTGTTCTGTCTTGGTCCTTTTGCAGCTCAGTCTTCACCCCTGCTTGAGAGGCAAGGCATAGCTTCTCATCCACAGAGAAGTACGTACTTCCCATAGGCTGAGCCCAGCAAAGTGTTATGGATCTGATGTTTCCTTACTGAAAATACGGAGGGAGAAGGCAGTTTCAGCCTGGCTTTTCTGACTGACGGGGCGGTAGGGAGAGCAAACATGAGGAAGTAAAGGCTTCCTTTTTCTACCTGAATCAAACAGCTGGTGAGGAAGTGACTTTATTTCCCTCGTTATCATTGGGTTGGCAGGATATCCTCTTGAGCCACATTGTATTGAATGAAGAGCCGGTGAGACTTCCATTTTACTGAACGGGAATTGCCTTGCAGCTATTTTACGCTGCCCTCTCTGTGACTCCAAAACAAACAAACAAACACACACTAGCTCCTGGCTTTTGAAGAAACTTGCACAGGTCTGAACAAGGCACCTTTGCTACCCGGAGTGGGAATGGCATTTGCACCAATGCCAAGGTTTAGCAGCTGAATGACTTCCAAAACCCCTGCCTCCATACAAATGACATAAATCCTCATAAAAGCTTTCGTTCCTGAATGGTAACTCATTTCAGAAAGCGTTTGGGGAGGGCAAGAGGGCGCAGACAGAGCTGGTTAAATCGTCCCATGTTTTCTATGCAGCAAAACCTCATTAAAATGTCATCTTGAAGCTAAAGAGAAAAGTTCTTGGAACACAAAAAATAGACAATCTGTGGCTGTTCTTTTCCCAAAGAGTTTATGGGTCTTTTACGCAAGTCTAAGTCATGAGTACATGCAAATCAGGATAGCTCAGGCCTTGACTGCGCTGTGCCAAGGTGTGGTGTTTCACGAGGTCGGTATCTTCAGAGAGGCCAATATCATTTTACACCAGGGAGTGCCAACATGCTGGCAGTCGTGCCAGGTGCACGTTATCGAATTATAATGAGAAGGAAAAGAAGGTGTCACCGTACAAACCCTGCTGACCACGGGCAGAGAACCTGCCTGGGGAGTGGCATCGGCATATGCACCTGATCAAATCCCCATCCCCCATATTTCTTTTCCCCCTTCATTTTTGCCTGTGGTAGAAATGGGTCTGCTTTGGATTTTCTTTCCACAACGCTTGATATAGTCTTAAGTCTGCAGCTGATGTGTTGGTTGCTGACGGCATAGCCTTTTGTTTCTCCAGTGATATCTGAGGTTTCTGACTTAGGACAAAACTGGTTCTCATCACAGTGATCTTACCTAACTTCTTTGTTCCTTGTCCTTGCTACCTGTTTGTATAAACTCTTGCATGGGTAAGCCTGTAATCTTGGGGGCATATCCTGC